CTTCTGATAATCAGCAGGTGCATCTCTCCCTAGAGAGCTGAGATTTGGTCTTAGTCCATTTGCTTGCATAGCCCTGTGACACAGACACCATGCTGCCTCTTTTTGCTTCTGAACTGAACAGGAACCGAGTGGGATATTAAGAAAGAAATAAATCTGCTGATTAGTTAATGCAAAAAGCATTTTTTCTCCATTAACACCATCCTTGAAGAAAACAAAACTGTTTCCTAGGCAAAAGAAATGAAAAGAAATGAAAAAAAAAAAAATAAAATATTCATGTGTTTTCTCTCCTGGGCTTTTTTTTTTTGATAAACTGCCATAATGATGCATATAGATTTCTGTTTTAAAAAATAGTTTCAACTTAATGCCCTGAAATTCTGCAATAGCCCAGAGTTTCTTTACTGCTCTTTTTTAAATGCTAAATGTGGTCACATTCTTATTTCTTTTTGCTTATGAAAGGGCCACAGAGCAATATATATCCCTGCTGAATAGAAATATCTATAGCCTAATGTTAGCATTGAATCTTGTACCTCTAGACTTTGTGACAATAACTTGGTTTTTATATTTTCTTTGTTCCATACTTATTACTAAATGTTTAATAGTTTAATAACTGAAGCATATAGTGACTAATTAACAGGAGGGGTTTGATCTCTCACTGGTATAAAAAAGAAGTAAACACTTCCAGGCTGAAGATATAGGAATTATTCTGACAGTAAATTCCATTTTAATGCTGATGTACCTCAGGAGTCAGTGTCATGAACTGATTTTGGTGCATGTGGATCAGAATGTAGCCTGATTTCTCTAAGAAGTTTGGGAGTCCAAATTACTGATCCTCAAACATACCTAAAAGCCTGTCACATCTAGCTATGCCTCTTAATCTTCTTTTGTAGCAAATTAATGCAGATACCTTCACTGGAGTCATTCCTGTCTTATACCAGAGTTAAAGGGGTCAGGCTGGTGCTTTGTGAGGAGCATTGGCAGTCTGGAGCACTGCATTGTGTATTCTGTGTGAGTTCAGGACAATGCAGCCTGGATTGCTGTTTGGGGCTGCAGTGAAGTCTCTGAACTCTATTTTGTTATTGAGTTGGAGGGAAAACAGAGGAAAGGAGGACCCCAGCATATGAAATCTCTCACCCAATCTAAGAAGGTTGTGGACCTGTTGGAGCAAGTCTAGAGGAGGCCACCAAGATCCTCTGAGGGCTGGAGCACCTCTGCTCTGGAGACAGGCTGAGAGAGCTGGGGCTGTTCAGCTGGGAGATTGCTCTGGGGAGACCTTAGAGCAGTTTCCGGTGCCTAAAGGGGCCGGCAAGAAAGCAGGAGAGGGGCTTTTGACAAGGGCAGACATCCCCCCATTTGACAAGTGGGAATGGCTTTAAACTGACAGAGGGGAGATTTAGATTAGATACTAGAAACAAGTTCCTGACTGTGAGGATGGTGAGGCCCTGGCACAGGTTGCCCAGAGAAGCTGTCGCTGCCCCATCCCTGGCAGTGTTCAAGGCCAGGTTGGATGGGGCTTGGAGGAACCTGGTCTAGTGGAAGGTGTCCCTGCCCTTGGCAGGGGGTTGGAACTGGATGACCTTAAAAGGTCCCTTCCAACCTAAACCATTCTATGATTCATTCTATGATTAGTTATTGGGCCAAATTCCAGCACTATGGCAGTTAAAAGACACCCTGATCTGAATGCCATCATTCACTTGATTGTTCATATATCCCCTGAGTGAAAAGCTCTGATTTAACCAATGACTCCTCTGTTCTCTTGAAATATGAGGCCAACACAGCTGGGCTGGCAGCTCTGCACTGCCTGCATCACTAGTATTGCCATGCCTGTCATAGCAGGTATATTCAGCACATTAATTTCTCAAACACCCTTGACAGCATAATGATGTGTCTGGATGTTCAGTGATGAAATAATTGCACGTAGGATGCCCTGGGGCACTGTTCCTGGCATGCTTATGTAGTCAACATTTTTTTGAAGGAGCCCCTCAATTTAGAACACATCCTATCTTCAGGCTCCAGTGCAGAATAGCCTGATGTCAAACCTCATGGGCTGCAGAAGGCCCTGTGGCATGGGTGAATAACCTTTGGAATTTTTTCCTGTCGTGTTTCTGAAAGGCAAGCCCCTTCTTTCTGCCTTTGGCTTATGGTTGATGCTGGCACAGGTTAGCGTAGGGCTGAAACTGAAGAGAAGCTGTAAATACAAAGCAGAAGTTCATCCTGAAAATGTTGTAAGCACAGGGAGAGAAAAAAGAAGGTGAAGAGCAGAGTGCACAATGTGTCGCACTGCTCAGGGCTCACAGACATGGACCTTCTAACCCAGCAAGGCTGCCTAAAAAAATGGGTTTCACTCACATCTCACAAAGGAGGCTGCTGGCAATGCTGCATCACTTATGCTCAACAGGTCTGTACTCAGACTCTTCCTCTGGTTGTCTGGTACCTGGGATCCAAGTTCACACCTTAGGCACCTCACTGGATGCATTAACAAGATTGGGCAGGGCTCCTGTGCAGCTCACCAATTCTGTTGGGCATAAACAGCTACCATGATAGATAAAGAGTGCAAATGACTTTGCAGCCTGATCAATCAAATCTTTCATAGACTGTCACTGCTTCCAAAATCTGAACCACTGAGAGGAAGCATTTTACATGTACAGAAACACTCAGAAGCTTCTTTGCAGCTAGCAATTCACCCAGTGAAATGTAGCACTATGTCAGATCCTTGCTTTGAACCAGGCACAGGAGAATCTCCAGCATCTTTTGTCTGAGTCCTAATCGACGTCTAAAAGCACACACCACAGCAGCACTAGCACCAAACACAGAGAGGGTCCTTGCATCTGAGAACCTCATGGAGATTTCAATGGGTACCTTGTTCCTGGGGTGTCAGGGCATAAGAGCTTCAATGCAAGCAATATGGGGAAACTTTAAGCATTCTCTTGGTTCCTCTGGAATTAGAGATCTGCAAAAAGAGGATTTTGATGATCCTATGGTACATCCATACTGGATTCTAACTGCTGATACAGTTTCAGTGTAACATAGCCATAACCAAGATGGCTTGCATCTGACTAGCCTGGGGTCTCATCAGCTTTTTAATTCCAGGATCATCGAGACCATTATGACTATCTTCAGAGTATCTACCAATCCTTTTAGGCTGAGGGCTGGGTAGCCACAGACACAGTGTGGCAGAATCTGATCTAGCTCACTGAAAACTTATGACTGCTGTGTTTACCCTTCACAGCAGTTGTATTGTAGTTTCTCATGCCCCTTACTGACTTCAGCCCTCTACTCAATTCTCAGTACTACATGTGGAGAAATACTTTGGAAGCATGAAACTCAGACAGCAACAGGTACAGCTCTAGGGAGGATTATGGTATGGAATAACTGCCCCATCAGAACTGAGGAAGGACCTGGATGTCCAAGCCTGAAACTCTCCTCCTGGGCTCAGTGTGTTTTGTTGGCAGTGAATCACAGATGATTAAGGCAAGCAAAACAAACCTCAAACCCACCAAGGTTAAGATGCTTCCCATCAGTGAATTACCTTTCATTATGAAGAAAAAGAATTTCAGGTGCTGTTAGCATGAGTTGAGACCTCTAAACCCTGAAAGAGGAACGTATATGCATCGGTGACCCAGATTCTCCTTCACAAGGACATGTTACAGAAGGATGACAACCCAATTAATAAGCATACACAAGAGCTGGGCAGGGATTTCCCACCCTCAGTGTAAAACTGGTGCGAGCCTCTTTGATGCAGTTGGATGGGACTCAAACATGGGCATCCACATCTGTGTCATCTATCTTCTGACTGGGTTCGGGACTGTGGGGATTGTCTCAAATGCAATACATGGGAGTGCAAGGGGCATCTGGTGCCCAGTAAGCCACCAGCCTGGCATATCGTTTTCACACCTCTCCTTTGCCCCTCCACCAAGAAAAGAAAAATTAAAAAATTACTGTTCCCTTGGTTTTAACAGGATCTATGTGCATTCTTCAAATAGGGATTGCCCCTATAGGGACATTAATAGGCCTCCAGAAAAGAGGCAAAATACACATGCACATCTTAAAGATCTAACAATGCCTTCATCACAGGAAGAAAGCTCCCCTCAAAAGGCAAAGAAGAAATCAATTTAATAGCTCCTTCACTCCTTCCTGACTCCCGGAGTGCCAGTTATGCGCTGAGACAAACTTGCTTTGATGAAAGCAATTTTGTTTGCTGCTGTGAAGCTAATATTTTCATCTGCAGAATGGCAGGTCTTATTCAATTAAGGATTACAGGATTCTACATCTCCCTTCCCTGGCAGTGTGTGCTAAGTGCAAACGAATTACAGACCAATTGTTTTCCCCTGATCCCTGGGTGTGCTAATGCACCAAGATCTATGGGTGAACTTCAAAAGAATGAAAAATGCAGCCATGCTCTCCTTTTGGCATCTGTACCTGGATTTTTTACATGCAAATTGAGTTAGCTCTTCATTGAAAGCAACCAAACAAAACACGATGTCATGAATGTAGTGCAAAGAAGGGCATTCACGCTGCTCCTTCTCAGAGACCTGATTTTTCCAGAGGGCATCCACGGGTGCTTAGAGAGCTTTTGCTAAGAAGGATGATGGGCAATTAGCAAACACACACTGCAGCACTGTGGCATTCTCCCAGGGTCTTTCCTGGTGCTGCATCTTAATCTTCACACATGTACAATGCAGAGGCAAGCACTGTGCACTGGCCTCTTCCCTTCCTGCTCATGTTCCTCTTGTCCCTACTCCTCATGTCCCTGACTCATTCTCCGGTACCTTATCGCCACTTCTTATCAATAGAACTTTTGGCACATTCATATGTTTGGCTTCCCCCCCCCGCCCCCCCTTGCCTCTTCTTGCCTCTTTCTCTCCTGTACTGGCTCATTTTTTAAAAAGTGCAATTTATCTGTTTCAGAGATGCCAGTTCTGGTAAAGCCACCAAGGACTCAGTCTCTTCCCTCCCTTATCACCCGTACTTCATTGTTTATGACACTTCAGGATCTCCCAGGCTCTCCTCAAGTGACTGGGACCTCTACTTGTAGTTATCAACCCCTGAGGGCTTGAAACTTAAGAGTGAAAGGTCTGAAAAGAGAGAGAGGAAAAGTATTTCTCTCCCTCCTGGCTTGTCTGATCTTGTTCTGGATGCCAGTGGCTCTTCCAGTTTTGTGTCCTATGTTGGCTCATGCGGAGCATGTCAATTCACAAGGATTTGTCATCATATCACTGATTCCTGGGGGATTCTTCTGTCTTTCAGTTTGTCACTTGGATGCTCAGTTCTTGGAGAGGCTCTCCCTATCACACCAGAGAGAATTCGGCCTGGAAGCCAGAGCACCGGCGTGTCTTTGGTGAGCACTTGGTCAGCATGGAGATCTGGGTGCTGAAGTTGGTACCGTTGCTGCCTAGGGAGGGGTGGTGATACTTCATGTCTGAACCCAGGAACCGCTCCAGATGCCACCTCCGCCACTTTCGTTTGAGCTCAGCTTGGACCTAGGTGGTGGAAAGGCAATGAAGTCAGCAGAGGGGAGCATTTTGTATTGCTCTGTCATGATTGTGTGAGCAGCCATGAGCAACCCACCTACCGAGGGGCCAAGAATTATTTTATAAAGGTCACTAAACTCAACCTGGCCAGAACTTTCAGACACGTAGAAGAGAGGTGACACTCCAGACAGCATCTGGAATCATAAATCCGAGCTTCAGCAGAAAGGTGAGCACAGGGAATTTCATATCTGATCCAGTGAAGGTACCAGACTATTTGACTTTAATGGCAACATACACTATACTTTGTGAATACAGTTCCTTTTTTCATTGCCCTGTTTTTGTCCAAATACAAATGATTTAGTTATAGACTGCTTGTAAAGCTGTCCATTCAACTGTGCTTTTGTGATATAAGCTACTTGTTCCTGTTCAGGGAGTTTGCAGACGTCATCTGTTTGACACTGTTCAGAGTCAAATCCTGAACAAATCTGACCAGCATCCCTGTCCCCTCTTGCAGCCTTCCAGTTCAAACTTATAGATAACAGTTTGAATCAGATAAACCAGCTGTGTATGAGGGTCTGTGGGATCAGCAAGCACAGGAACAGTACAATACCAGGATGCAAACCCCAGAACTGGAAATGTGGGAAAGGGCAAGATCAATGCCTGTGAGGTAGAAACATGTTTACCTGGCACTTGTCTGTGCCTAACAAGTCATGTCAATGCCTATGTATTGGTTTTGGATCATTCATAAGTTTGTGTGGTACTGCCCTGCTCTGCTCAGGCTTACTGGCAATGGTCTCTGCTGGAGCTGGGCTATCTGCCTGCATGCCACTGTGCAATGTGCACATGGCATCAGTGTGGCTGAAAGCAGCATCAGAGCTATAGGACAGTGCTTTGTGATTCTGGACACCCTTCCTCTCCATAGGAAGCTGGAGCACAAACCCAGATCACAGCTTCTTATTTCTTGCCCTTGATCAGTTTATTGAGCTGAAAGTGCTCCAGCTGACAGCAGCTTCAAGTTTTTAGCTACTCACACCTACTTAGTAGCCTTAGATACGAGTTTAATCAGTCTCTGCTGAATTTCTTATGGACAGATGGAGCATGGTACAAAAATATCACTGCACTAATGAGCCTCCACGTTGGCAGTGGGCCTGATTCTGTGGAGGATTCATTGAGGTACTGAACATAAATACAACTTAAAAGATGACTTTTAGCCTTCCCTGCTGAAGTGGTCCTTTTGAATCAGGGTTTATGCATGGTCATATGGGAGTTCTGCTTATGCTATCTCATGAGTAAATGACAGACTCAGCAGCAGCAACCCTACTGTGCACACAAAAGTCTTGATATGTTTATTAGTTGTGCTGGAAACTGACAGGCAAATGGCTGAGTTGTTTTTTTCTGGAGGCAGTGGTTTGACTTGGATGCTTCCTCCCAGTATGGTAACATCAGGAATGGGACACTTCTTAATTCGTTCTCCACTATCATTCAATTTGTCTTATCTGCAAACATAACCACACAACACTGTTGCTCTTACCTCCCCGTTGAGAAAACAGTACAGAACAGCCACCACAAATCCCTAGGGAAAAGGAGAGAACAGGCTTTTAGCACCTCTCAAACTCACTGCAGCCTTGGAAAAAGGGCACGCTGCTGGGGGACATTAGAAACCACTTGATTGCACTAGATTAGTTAAGGTACCTTGCAACAGATGTATGTATGGATGTCAGTTCAAAGATTGCTCCTGACTGGTGTTTAAAGCAATCCACAGTCGGCTCAGCTTAAAGAGAGGCACTTGGTCATTCAAACTGGGGCATTAGAGGCAAAAGGATGGGATACTAGACCTAGCTTTCCTGCTTGGTCTTGTCAGCTGAAATTCAGGAGATCTAAACATGCTCACTACTACATCACCAAGGTCAGAATGATCTTTGACACGATATAGTGCTAAAATTCCTTTCTGTCTCCCTTGCAGTAACACTTCATTTTTAAAAATCGCAGATTTCCCTGAAAAAAGAATAAACTTATCTCTAGTCCTTATGGTTGCCAACACTAAAGACAAGGAGTGAGTGTAGATCCATTTGTGTCTCACAGGAGAGATGCTGGAGGTGAAGTGATGAATATGTAGATGGGGATGTTAACTCATTCACTAGTGCAAAAAGCATGTCACTGACACATGTATGGTACACAGTGACAGACACATCCTGCTGCGGGCTGCGAGAGAGCAAAGTGATTGGAGCTGATTAACAGATGAATGCAATGGGACAAAATACGTAAAGAAGTGCTTCTTTTCATGCAGCAACAGGTTAACAGCCCAGCCCTGGAACTGACTGAAGTGAAGCATGCAGGGGGGTCTAAGAAGCAAACTTCATCAAGGCTTATAGAGATTAATGTGGAGGACAGCACCATTGCCCATCCTCACAGGGATCCTGCCTCCTATGCCAGTGAACTGGAATCCTGCTTAAGCAGGATCTACAGGCTGGACTTGGCTTATTAACAGAGGAGAAATTTCATGCAAATTGGTTGGCTGAAGACAGGCTAAGCTCCTGTAAACGGCCAGAAAGACACTCCTCCCAAAGGTGAATTATCTCATCTCACACCATGTCAATAATAAATAAACTGAACAGAGGTGCTCATTTTTTCCCTTAAGTACAAAAATACTCCAGGTGACTAACTTACAGAGGTACATTTTCTTTTCAGGTGCTTAAAATGAGGACAGAAAATCTCCTTCTGGAATTCCAGAAGGCAAACTATAAAATTATCTTCTATCCTGGCCAAGCAAAAGTATAAGAGCATTGGGCATGTCCAGGAAAAACCCATCTCACACATTTACTTATTCCCTTGTCAATTTTGTTACATTCCTCTCTGCCAGCAGACCTGGTGGCCCAAAGGTTGACTTACCTGGAATGACCCAACCACGAGCTCAAACACCAGCTTGACTTCTGCTTTGAAATTGTCAGGGAAGAAAGCAAACATGATGTAGTGAATGCCAAAGAGAGGGATCAGCAGCAAGGTGGACTTGGCCAGCCTCCTGTTGGAAAGACAAACATGAATCATAGGGAGAGAGGGAAGAGGAGCTAAAGGGCTGATGAGAAATCCTGCAGCTGAGCCCTATGCAACACTGAAACTTTAATTTGCTCCAGTACATATTTACTGATTACCTGGATCTTGATGGTGTAGCCTGTATCATGCATATTAAGTGCCTTTGTTTGCCCTTAGGAGATGTGATATGCGCTACTTATGCTGAAGTCCTGGGAACATCCAGCCTTTTAACAGCAGTCTCAATGAGGCAGGACAGGAGGCTGTCTTTGCCCAGAAGGTGGAAGTGTCTGGGGTACAATGATATGGAGAGTGTTGAGACAGCTCCTCACAGCCTAATCTCCCCAGGATCCTTCTGACAACCAGGGCTGGGATCCAATGACACATGGAGGTGGACCCTCAGCTGGCCACAGTCACTGTATGGCAGTTCAAACTAACCAAGGATCATACTGGGAGCATTTCTATGGGCTTGCTTTCCTCCTCATTGACGGTTCTCATATAAATATATACGTGCCTCCACCTAAGGCAGAGTGAGTAGCCCTACATTATTTCTCCTTGGCCCACAGACTGAAGATGGCTGGTGATTTCAGATACAGTGACAACATAAAATGTGACATCTTTATTCCTAGTAACTACAATGGAGGTATTTCTTTCTTCCTTCTCTTTTCTTCCCCTCCCCCTGGAGATCTTTATTCATCTCTACAAACTAAATCACCAGCTAGCACTGTCTTTGTTTGCTTGGGATTTCTGAAAATTACAGCTTCTGGGACAGAAATGGTATGTTTAGCTCAGAATAATAACATGCTATTGCACAATGAATGTCTCCAAAGGAGGGGGTTGAACAGTTTTAGTTCTTAATCGTAGCAGACTAGGTAATCAGAGGTCTAATTAGGAAGAAGAGATTCTAATTTATTAAATATAATCATTATTAAAATATAGCTGATGGAATAAAATAAATCGAGGGCCTAACGATGCTTATGGGGGTTTTGGCTCCCTTGGTCATCCACATCCTCCTGCATCCTCCTCTCCCAGAGGCTTCTGGAGGAATTGAAGCTACAGCTGGGATGTTTGAAATACTTGTTCTTCCATCTGCAAACCCTTCAACTCCAAAGTCTCATCAGGCTCAGTCCCATCAGACCATCTTCATTTATTTGCCATCTGCATAAGCCTGCTGGGAAGGCTGATGTGCCAGCTTTATGCAGATGATGATCATCAATGTATCTCCCGGCAGACCTTTTCAGTTTTCCCTAGGCCTGGACCAAAGACAGCTTGACATTAAGGCTGTTGTCAGAGGCTGTGGTTGCTCAGGGAAAGGCAGCTGGGTGCATCTAATTCCAGACAAAATGACTGCCTGTAGGTAGCCAAGGAACTTTCTAGGAATTGGCCTTTCCCATAGCATTCTTCACTAGCAGGTACATCCCTGCTCCTAGTGAGTAGATCCAGAAACTGAATCCTCTCGGATGTCTTGCTCTGCCAGAGGATTGTCACTGGTGACTGTCAGGGTACCATGATCCTCACTCCTAGAAGCAGCTCTGACCACTGTGATACTCTCTAGTATGACCCAGCCCTAATTCCCTCAGCTCCCAACATACAAGAAGGCAACTCATTTTCTAAGTAGGTAACAGTTCAGTGAATGTCAGCACTGGCTTTGCAGAGATCTCTCCTCTCTCCCTAATCTTTCAGGAACAGTAAACCTAGAGGATATTGATGCAATGCTACCTTAGTGTACCTTATTCATAGGTACACTGTTTGCAAGCTCCAATGGATTAGAAAATGCCATTTTATCATTGCAGATAACACTGTGGCAATGAAAAGGTCATAAATGCCAAACCTTAGGAGCCCCCTCCTCTAGTTTGCACAATACTCCAGAAGAGTCTCTTGTTCCCAGCACTGAGCTTCCCCAAAATATTGAGCGATGTTTTATATCTCAGTTTGGTTTCAAGGCAAGGTCCCTAAGGTCTAGCCCTGTGATATTTAAAAGACTCCTCCCCTAAATGCTGCAATGAGGAGTATCGCCATCTTCAGTCATGGTGTAATTTCTCCCAGAAAGCTAAAGCCTGGCTGTGCATGAGGCAGAACTGCTTGGGAGATTGTCCAAAGCTGGTTACAATTACCTGCTGGCAGACAAAAACCTCCTTACTTGCACTTCCAGCACAGTGCACACTTCTTAGATCCACCCTCTCTGACATGGTGACAGGTAATTTAGTGAAAACACATCTCCACTAGTCTGCTCTGAGTATACTCCACTCCTTGGGGTGGATAAGAATGAACCAATATTTTAGTCATCATCCTTGAACACATCGCAGAAAAGTTACCCAGAAAACTTTGATGGTAATATTGATCTATGGACATGTACAGAATAGAAACAGATTAATTTAGATCAAGATTTCTGTCACAGAAAACAACTTCTTTGCCTGAAATATTGCTGTCCCATTCTTGCATGCCTGTCATTTTCAGAAAACTGATTTGGGAGACTTGTTTTCACAGTTTTGCAATACATTAAAGCCCAGCTCACTATCCGTCTGTAGCATTAATGAGTGAGGCAGCAATGCACCTGAATTTCCAGCCTGCAGCTAAAGTGAAACTGGTTGGAATTGAACAATACCATCAACATGTCAACTCATCATATTTTTATAAAATAAACCACATAAAATAAACAAGAGAAGGAGGGAGAAATGCAAATGAGAGATCCCCGATGTTGGCAGTTTAAAACATATTTATCTCAGATTTAGCAGGAGGAGCACACACATATCGTTAGGGGCATGTTTTTTTGCTAAGATCTCTTGGTCCTGCAGCAAAACCTCTGAAGCCAGCAGCACCATTTCAGGTAGTAAGAGAATGACCTGTAAAAGGAGCTGGGTACCTACAATTGCAGATCACACACCTAATGGCATTTATAAAAGGGTCTGGACACCAAACATCTCTATAGATAGCTGTCTACAACTTAGGACCATACTGAGAACTTCCATTGGTGGGATCCAGCCTTCAGGTTGGGACACAGTATTCATTTCCAGAGGAAAGTGTGGTGTCCCATATCCCACTATAGTCAATACAGTCAACAGAGACTTCTAGATGCCCCACAGAATCCAGCTGGTGGCCAGCTGCCACTGTATGAGGGTACAAGTCTCCCGTAGGCCCTGGGTCCTATGTGTCAGGTCCAGGCAAGTATTTCAGGCATTCTAAAGCATCTTGTATAGCTTGGACACCTATAAGCGAGCAACTTACTCCTGTCCTAGTGGAACTTGGATGTTTTTTTTTTTTCCAGGTGGAAAAGGAAGGTGAGGAACTGTAGATATGAATATTATTTGTACTTCAGGAGTACCTCCTGTTTGGCAGGCCAGTCTGCGTTACTTAGTGCCAGGTTGTACTATGTTTGTTTACAAGACAAAGGGAGCTTTCCTGCAGCTCCCACTTCATTGGAAAATGTGAAGTAAAAAGCCCTGAACCCAAAGCTCAGCATGACCTCTGAGGTAATCTGGGCATAACCTTTCCAATGCATGTTGGCAGCACTTCTACTGAGATGAACGGGAGCCAACTGCTCCAGGCTGCTGCTTAGTACTAGAACATATTTCAATATGTTGATTTAATCTATGTACCTGGCCAAAGATGTTGCAATCCTGGGGGTACAAAGATACAATTCCCAATTGGAAATACATAAAGGGTGGTAATGTTGGTGTACTATGATGACAGAAAAAGAGGTAATTGGCTTTGGCTGCTGCAGGGAGAAGTTAAGGTCAAATACTGGAATTTCCTTACATAAATCTGAGACTCTCTTGAGGTAGATGAAATGCATAATTCACCATAACAAGAGAAAAAGATTCAGTGTGGAGGCTGGTCAGTATTTAAGGAAATATTGATAGTGTCTTTCATCTTGCAGAAAGATGAACTAAACTCAGCTTTGTCTGGGTGCCTAAGTGAAGAGCTCCCTCCAAAGACAAAGATTTATGAGCAGTGACCATGCAGACACTGGACTTTTATCTTCTCTTTTTTTTTTTTCTAAGAAACATTTAATAAATATCCAGGATAGTTGGAATGCTGAGCCAGGACAGCGGCAAGAGTCAAAAATATTTTGGTCTGAACTTTCATTTGCATTAAAGCCAGAATAAATCAATGCAGATAAACACACAACTTGCAGTCTCAGAATACTGCAGCTAAGACCAGTCTTGGCCACTGAAACAGCACTGATCTTACTTGCATGTTCTTAGTTATAAAAAGCCCCATTAAGGTCACCTTATATCCCTGGAACGAAAGCATTATGTCAAGCAAAATTTCTGAGACAGTGTTACTTTTCAACAGTGAAGACAAATGGATGGAATTACTGAAATTATCATTACTGTTGCTCTCACTCCTTCATTGTTAATCGCAGGAGAAAGCCTTCTCACTTGTCCAAACTGATATAAAACATGCCCTTCTGTTTTAGCAAATGCCCCTTTTTCTGATTTCTGATCAGCTTATTCAAATAACAAATACTTGATTCTGATCAGTGCAGACAGTCAAACAGGTTTCCCAAAAGACATACAATATGGTTGAAAAAGTCTAGGACTTACGAGTATTGGCTGGTCTCATTGTGTCCAACATCTGGGGAATGCAGCTTTTGGACTAGGATACGGATGATGCAAATGAAGAGAATGAAGTTCACCTGTTGGGATGGGAGAAAGGAAACAGAGAGAGAAATAAAAGTTACTAATTTGCTTGGGTGAAAACAGCCCATCATTAGAGGGGACTTCCTTTCACAGCAATATTTTTGCCATGGAGCAAGCTGCTGTTAAAAAGCCATGAGCAGAGAAACCCAATCTGGGAGCACAAAGTAAACCGACACAGGATGCAGCCATCTTGGGCCTGACATCAGCCTGCTTGGGACTTTGTGTGATACATCCCAAGTATGATGATGTCAAACCCATAGAGCACAGCTATGCACGACGTCCTGCTGTGTGGGGGATTGCCGACGACAGGGTAGGAAAAGAGCCTTGGGAGTTAGTAGAGCGACGGATGTCAAAGCCCTCAGGAGACGGTGACATGGGACCGGATGCTGAGCATGTCAAAGACTGAGGTGGTGAGCCAAGAAAACCAAAACAAAACACAAAGCAGCACTCACTCAATGCTATCGGGCATGTCTACCCTGGAAAGAAGCTGGAGACCTTGTATAGCAGAAACAGACCTCACTGACATAAACACTGTCTCCTAGGATGTTAGACCAGGAGTCTAGCTAATACCTGAATTTTAAATGATGCTGTTCCCTCTCAGAGTGCTCCACCAACATACTCAAGCAATGTTAAACTTATTTAATAGCAAAGGTTAGAGCTAGGAATTGCAATTCCTTAACGGCATGTAGTAGATGGCATGAACTGAATACAGATCTACTTGCTTTTAAGGTCCTATCCATGGAATCATGCTGTTATTTATGCAATGTATACAACAGAAACATGATAAGAGACCTCTGTGGACTTAGTTTAGCTTTAGTTTGGCAGACAACCTTCTTCTTTATCTTTTTATGGTTAGAAAATGCACAAATGATTCTGATTTTGAGAGACCCAGTGGCGGGAAGGGATTGTGCTAACCAGCCAAGCCAATTTCCTGCAAAAACAGACTGTAAAATTTCCTCCAGCAATTCCTACATTTGTCTGAACAAGAGGTGGATAAAGCAGACAGCAGCACATGTCTCAATTAGACACTCTTTTTTTCAAAGGCTTTGAGTGATTCAAAATTAATTGTATTTCTTGGTTCTGATGCATTGCATCACTTTTTATCTATCCCATGTCATTTATCATAATTTCTGTTCATATTTATTTGCTTATAAAAATGGGTTGCATTGACTTGGTGGCAAGTAAAATCTATCAGCTCAAGACAGCATTATCTAGATGAATTACTCTAATAAGCTTTGATAGCACACAAGCTTCAGCAAGGAAGGTAAGATTAGAGCAGTTTGCTCATAGTCGTCAAAAGCAAACATGGGGAAGAACAGTGGTGAATCAGGTGGAGAGTGATTATAGGCTTAGTACAGCCTTAGTATTGCATGGTATGGCTATCAGGCTGCTGGAGAAGTTGTTTAGTTTATTTTTCAACCTAGAGTATAATCAAAGGCACTTGATTTGTTCCCAGTGCTTAATATCTTACATATCTTATATATTTTATGTATCTGTATTTCTTCCTTCCAATGATATCCATGCTTTATTCCCATGGATATGGAGAAAATGTTGCATTCCTCCCTGAAGAAAACTGCTTTTCATCAGATAGCAGTTATCACTCCCTTCTTTTGTGGCAGGTTTATATGATGTCTGCAGAAGGATAGTCAGAAATTTCTGGGTGAATTCTGTTTGGCAACAAGGAAATGATTTATTGATCATATGCTGACGAGAACAGCATGCATTTCTTGACCAAAAAGATTACCTTGCTAAAGGAAAAATGCTATCTATAGCTTTCTATGATAATATAAATATTTTGCAATGTGTCATCTACTTATTGTATTTCTTTTCAGTGAGGTGAACAGAGTAAGATGGAATTACTCAAAATGTTTTAGTTTGGGATCCCTGTATGGCAAATACTACAGAAAAAAGTCTTCTTGTAAAGGCCATAATGTATTTGGAATAAGAAAAATGTATGTCTAAGAAAAGATTTCTGTCTAAAAGAGACATATTTGGTTTGATTTTTGTTGCATTCTTTTTCTTCCCTTCCCACATACTTGAATTTATTTAAGAAAACTCAAAGCTAAGTTTAATTTAAGTTCATTTTACTTTAAGTTTTGGCTTGATAGCTGACAGAGGAAAAATGTAATATTCAACGAGGATGGAACGACTCTAAGTTCCTCACAAGTGTCATGGTTTCTGTGGGCAGAATTGATCATATCCAGAGAATTAAAAAAGTCAAGTGCTTCTGTGACTTATCTGGACATTAGCCAAGCTTCTCAAGGACTTCAAAACCACAACTACATGCTGGATGCTATAGTAAGAGCCAAATATCTGTGGAAAGCATCTAAATTCTTTTTACCTAGGTAGAAATTTGTGGTAGGACTCATCCCAATTTTACTTTATAGTGTTGACATCTATAATTGAACAACTAGGCTCTGCATATGGTCAGTTCAGAAAATAAAACCATTCATGGAACAATTCATCTGATGTAATTTAGACATCCACTGATTCATTAGACAAGATGAGCATTTCCTGGATCTCCAACCATGTTCCTCAACCTCCTTGTGCTGCACACACCCATGGCCACTGCTCCAGGCAACTAGCTGAGATGGAAGTGGTCAAAGTTAAATGAAATGAGCTCCACCTTGGTTGCACTCAAACTCTTCCTATGGTTAAAGTTGTTTATCAGGAGGGTGAACTTCCTCAACCTAAACCAGACATGCGATATACAGTGGGATTTTATCTGTCAATGCATTTCTGCTGGACATTTACAGAACACTTCTCAACACCTCTTCATCCCCCACACTTAGTATTAAGATGGCTTTGCAGCCAGCAGAATGTGCTGATACTTTACCAAAATAGACACCAAAATAGGAGTTTTAATGATCCACCAGAATGGGGATTCCACTATTTCCTCCCAGCACCTGAAAAGAAACAAAACCAGACTTAAAACACCAAGCAAAGCAAGCAAGCAGCTATGTAACCTTCTCTGGTACCTGGTTCCCTAAATACTGAAGATAGCTATGATAGGTTATGTGAAGAGGAGTAAATCTGGTGTGCATGAACTGGGAAGGGCTAAAGACTTGCTTTGCAGTGGCTCTGAGTACTGGGAGTTAGGAGGTGCCCCAGACATAATGCTGTGGGCTCTTTTCCCCTTGGTAATGGAGCGGGCTGGAGAATGTTATGTCAGTATGAACGTGGGGGAGGATGGTGATTCACTTAATTTCTCCTGCACTGAGGTCTGATACAAGGAAATGCCATCAAAACCACAGATTCATGAGGCCTCCGATGCTATCCACTATCATGGATGGGGGTTTTGTTAAGCACAGAGCAATTGGCACCATCAGAAACAAAACCAACCATGCCCTTCTGAAAAAGACTATAGGCAGCCTGTGGCAGGTTTAGTCCAACTAAATCTGTATAGCTGCCTGAGTTATGGATCTAGTCAGAAAAGTCCATAGAGTCCAGGGTATGATTTATTTCCTGAAGCGAGAATTGTCTGCAAACCACACCACTCACCTAGGTCACTTGGAAGTATATTTTAAAGCTAACAAGGAAAGGACAGAATAGGAATGATGTGGAAACAACTAGCATTGCCTGGGACACATTTATCTTCAGACCTTACAGGAGTCAGGTGGCAGAAGGTGCATTTTTAGGAGATCATTGATGAAAATCGGTCTGCATTCATGTTAGAAACAGATTAGTTTCTAACAGACAATTTCACCTGCATTCAGCTCACCTAATTCAAAATGCTGTAAGCACAGGCAATAGATGAAGAGAGGTACTTTTAGGGCACAGTTCTTGAGACCTATTTTAGGCATCAATTTTGTGATGAGAAGAATTGTGCTTCATGGACTGCACTGACTAAATCCCCAGTAGCTATAAAAGGAGACTAAAATGAACTGCTCACACACAGATGTTTATATTTTCTCAGGTGCATGTTGCCCATTCATTTAGAATTAAAGTGGCCCTAATTATCTCTAGTGCACTTCATCTTAAAAATAAGATGAATGAAGGTCACTTTAATTTGAAGTTAGAAAGTTTAGGCTTAATGTTGTTTAACCCATTTTACATAATTAGATTTTATTTAATCTGGATTAATTTCCTGTAATTTCTCTCTGTTGGCAATTTTAGTATGGAAAAAAAATCTAAGTTAGGTATTAGCATACCCTGTAAATTCACACTTTGTTTTACTTGGCACAAAAATGTAGAGCTTTAAAGCCTCCAGAAAATGCAAAGTAGTCTGTATTTTTATTAAGAATTGCTGGAGCTGAGTGGGAATATATGGTAAGAAGAATTGGTATCCAGACTGGTGAAATCCTTTGGCCTCTATCTCATTGTAGAGGCTATTTATTAGCAGTGTAAATAAGGTCAGTTTTATGCAGATAGATTGAAACCATAAAAGAAGTCAGTAGCCCTCAGGAAATGTGTTAGCATGACTATAAATCAAAAGCGCAATGAGAAGTCTGAGCTGCTTTTCGTACTGAAATAAGGACAAATCAGGACACATCTGGAGAGAGAGAATGCAAAGGAGAAAATGGAGTTAACCATATGCTGCAAATGCAAGAAACAAGGGCACACACAGTGAGTACATAATAAGCATCAGATTCTGTAACTCTGGCGTGTTTCCTCAGAAAAGCCTTTCAATTACTACAGTTTGACTACTTGAGTAAGAGCATGAAGGAGGATTGCAGGATCGGATCCTATATACTTGCAAATATCCTCAGACAGCTCTGATATCTGCCTCATTTACTTAGCTGTATTATCTCTGCTCCTTATGTAAAATACCAAAGGATGATACTAGGTTAAAGAGGATGAAGAACAGATCCTAAGATCTGCTTGGGAAAAAAAAAATAACCAAGTAGTTTTTAGACATCTTCTGTGGGAAGAGCTAATGGGAGTGTTTATAAAGTATCTGCTGGGTCAGTTCTGTAGGATGTAAAGCTCTGCTCTGAGCATGAGATAGCTGCTCAGCTGGTATCTTTATTATACACAGGATCACAGAGCCAAACGCTACCATCAGGGCTTGTTCACAAATTCCCTGCAAATATCCTGACCAAGGGATTGGGAAACAAAGAGGCTGATCAAGTTGACATAAACCATGTGTCTCCAGGAAGACCTTTGAGTGTTTCCCAGGTCTGACTGTCACTGAGGTTAGGGAAGGATGTCTGGGTTACTAAAACTGCAGGGCACTCCTTGGCCTTCCTTAGAGATAAAGGAAGGAAGAATTATAAAGGAAAGTTAAGTCCACAGGCTTACCCAACATCGAAAAAGTAAATCCTGACAATTGTCCAAGCAGTGATGAACACAGAGGGGGCACCTGACAAGAGAAGAGATGGTCAGAAATCATTATCCAAGCTTCCAGGGCTGTTCTCTCCCAACTCTCCAACTCTCCTAACTAACTAAGGTGATGCCTTCCCTGAAGAGTCAGCAAAGGCTTCACATTCTCAGTTCCCACATACCAAACAAGCAACATTTGCCTTTCTTTCCTTTATTCATCTTCCTGTTGCAGTGCTTACAAAAAAAAAACCACCTTTTGATGGTGAGATTCAAGGAATAGGAACCAGTTTAGACATCTACAGTTTGGACACCTGTATCTAAGTCAGTCACCACAGGCTCTCTTTAGCATCGATGTGAAGAAATACGTACTTCCAACACACAGAGCACCTGAGATACACTAGATGTTTGTTTTAGGACAGGAAATATGCTCTTGACTGTATTGCCTGGTCTTCACAGACTATAAAGGGAGCTTGGGGTGACAGGTTCACATGTAGATGTCTGTAGTTGGCCAGATGATCCCACCTCTGCTGCTCACTCCATCATCTTCTATCTGACTAGTGTTGTCTTGTTCCACCCTTGTGATACCACTTTGTCTCTTGTCTTTGATTACATTTAAACTGCAAATACTCCAGGAAGGACATGTTCTGTGTTAGTCACAGCATTGCATATTGTTTATTATCAGTGATTTCTGAGTGCAATGGTAACAACAGTAAGAACTGTAATGAGTGCATCCAAATTATTAATTCCTGCACAATCCGTTTTGGATTCATCACCAATGCTCTTGCAAATGATTGATGACTTAAATGCCAGAAGATCCTTCAAGCATCTATCATTCCCTTGAATTGTCCTTCCTCATCCAAGCAACCTCAGAATACATTACAAGTGCAAGATATTCCCTCTGATTTAAAATCATTAGCTTCATACATTTTTCTTTAAAATCTGCCAGCTCTGCTGCACTGAAAGAATGGGTATCTATGCACAAAACAGGTTTAAAGAAGGTCTGACCTGATTAACTGCATCTGAAACAAAGCCTGCTAACAACATCTTGTCTTATGCTTACAGCACAGAGAATTGCATCTCTTCTGCAGTGTGAATCCAAGCATAACTTCTGTCACTCTCAATGGAACTAACTCTACGGCTAACTGAGCAAATCACGAGTCCAGGCATACCCCTGTATATGACACAATTTTATTTTCTCTTTTCTTTTCAAGATTCTTCCCTCCTCTAATTACTTCTCAGTTTCAGCTATTGAGAGCATGTAATAGAAAGACATTTTGTTTGCATAAATCTTCAGCTAATGGCTTAAAGGGGAAAAGAGGTCTCTGTTTCCTCTTTGGAGAAAGAAAAGAAGTTGATTGGGTAGGATTAATTTGCCTAAGTTTGCAATCCAGCTCTGACTTACTTTGTGAAGAGTTTAATTATGTCTTTATTTTATTTTTTTTATTATTTCATTTTATTTTACTTCTATTTTATTTTATTATGTGTTTGAGTCTAGACTTATATTAAAGCTGGAGAAATCAGTAAGCAAAAGGTTACCAGCATTAGCACACAGGTGATAGGATCTCAGGATAGCTAGCTGGCCTGAATTCAGTAAAAGTGAGAGTGATGGACTGCAGTGTCTGGTTCATTCCAGGAGCCCTGCTTTGCTGGGATCCATCCTTACAATATAAGACCAATGCATGATACCAACTTTGGGATCCTAGTCAGGATTAAAGGGCTAAATGACTATAAAGATGAGGAGGAGTTTCAGTTCTTTAAGACACTGAGGTGCTCAGCTATCAATTAACCTAGCACAGATTAAGTTCTTAAATGCCTTTGAAGATTTAGGTTAATGGAATTAGGCTAAACTCCCCTGGCCATCACTTGATCTTGCTCCTGGTTGCACTAACAATCCTTTAACAAGGTTAAAGGTCTGTGTATCAAACTGCTGTTAAAAATGACTGTCAGGATCATCCCTTCACACAGTTTTGAGAGGATGCGTACCCCAGCCAATCAAGATGTACCACCAAAAGTACTTCCTCTCTGAAAAGAAGGAGATGACCAACAGGGTGTGGAGATACAGCCCCTCCACCAGGAGCCAGAAGAAGTTGGCCATGATGCAGTACTGGAAGAAAACCATCATGGCTTTGCAGCCTACCTGGAAGAGAAGAAACAAACAGTGGTGAATTGTTTCCATAGTAAACACAAAGAATTACCAGTAATCTTGCTGTGTGCATATCTTTGGGATTGCTTTGTGCAGCACCCGAAGCCCTTAAGGGAAAAAAAATTAAAGCCAAAATCCCTAAAGCTTGCTTGGGGTGGACATGCTTGATACACATTAACCCCTGCATCCTTGATAGACCCAGATCATGTCTGGATGCTGTTTCACCGTGTGAGCCTGCAGATACCCTCAAGCTTGAAAACCCTGTTGAAGAGTCACAAACTGATATGCTGGACCATGATCCCTACCAGCATGGTTGCTGCTCTCTGTAGGTTTTGGATGTACATCTGTGGGAAGTTGACTTAGTGGCAGAGTGGATGCCAGAAGGTCCTGCCCTGAAGTGTAGTCACCAGCCTCTGCTCTGCCAGGCATGGGTCCATGGGGCTGAGCTGTGAAGCAAACCATTGCACTGGTACAGAAGAACCTTCTGAAAAAGGCACTACTTTGAACTGGGACCAACCCATTGACTGATTTATGGTGTAGCAAACACACACCTGGGTCAGCATGACTGAGTGATCTGTACTGAAGAATAAAGAAGAGTGTGTGGGAATTTCTTATGATATTTTTGGCACTAAAGTCAGCATCTTGAGATATGATGCTCTGAGTGACTTGGACATCATAGTTCCCCCCATCATTCTCAGTGGGGCTGCTTGCTGGCATTACCTGGCTCCTTAAACCAAAAGAAATGAAGCCTCTGACTTGAACAAACTGATTTCCCAGCATAAAAGAACAGCAGCAACAAAAATTTATGTTAATTAGCCCTTGAAAACAAAGTCCAGTTGTAATCAATCCACAGTAGATACTGCAAAAGAAAAAAAAATGAAGGAGTTTGAGACATGAGTTTGAAGAAAGCCAAGTCTACAAAGAACTGTGGATACTTAGGAGAAGAAGGACTGGAATATATATTTTTAAAATAAAGGATAAGAAGGAGAAGCAGTGCAAATACTAATGAGCACAGACAGATTTGATTGCATTGGAAAGGGAGATATTTGAAAGGGAAGGAGGATTGTTTTTCCTCAGGAAATGAATAATTAAACACAGTAGCTTGCTGTGTGAATATTTCATTGCAGCACAGGTAATGGGAACAGCCACCTTATAAAGGAAAAAAAAAGGGAAATTTCTTTCTGACACTTGAGAGGCCAAACTGACTGCAAAACACCCAAAGGTAGAAATCAGCTGTTCAACAAAGTATGTCAGCCCTGGCCATTGCCCCCACATGTGATGTATCCAGGTTCAGCTGTAGTCTTACAAGTGATCATTGGTTGCATTGTTACACACATCCGCACTGCGATGTTGATTCAGTGGTAGCGTCATTGCATTCTGCGAGACTGCTTGGCTAATACTCTGTATTTACTAGGGCAGGGCTACAAATACCTGCCTGCTAGGATTCTCTGGTTAGTGGCTTTTCCCTGGTGTTCTGCACACGTAACATGTTGAATTTAGAGTAATAATTGATTTGCAATGGCAACAAGCTCATATTCCCGCCCCCCTTCTGCTGCAAACAGTTGCCATGAAACACACTGATTAAAAAGAGAAGTTTGGAAAGTGTTTTCTCAATGCCACGTGTTTTGGAGAGGGACTTGTCCCCACTGATCACTCAAAATTCATTCAACCGTCCCTTAGCACCCATCAGTATATCACACTGGGTATCCTCATGGGCTCCTCCACATCAATTTATATGTGAGGCAGATGGCATAAGCAGAGAGTTGCTGCAGGGTGGTGATGGGGGAACGTGGAGGCAGAGAAGGCAGTTAACTCCCAGAGAGGGAAGCTGACAAGTGCTGGGGATGAAGCAGCATCTTCCCTACGGCATCCTTATCTCTTCATTTCTCCCTGTCACTCTGTGTGTATGGATATGGGACATTGTCACACCCCATTTCTTTTGCCCCAAACCCAACTGCCTGCTTGGTGTGTCTACAGCCAGTGGGAATTTGTGGGTGTCAGCCCTACTGGGGTTACTGACTTCTTTCATGGTTTCACTTTATCAGTATTTGGCCCAAATTCAGCAGCTCACAGGTGAGACATGAGGTTTAAGGGAGCAGTTTTGATGCATCTCAACCACACAGTCCTCAAACATAGATTTGCTTTCAGGATTAAACATTGGGGAACCCTTTCTGGATGGTTCCCCTAAAGCTATGGCAGAGGCATGAGGCTGGAGGAACTGCAAGTCTTCATGGGACGTGGAAAGTCTTCATGGAACATGCAAGTCTTCATGGGACAAGGAAAGGCTGCTCACAAGAAGTGCACTCAATTTCTGCCTAATAGAGACTCTCAGACAGGGATGCTGAGTTTGTAGAGCTATTGCTGTCAGAGAGGAAGTCATGATGAACTCAGTCTGTGGCAGCAGAAGCCACAGAATCTTGGGGGTCCAAATCCATTACCTCTTCTCCTAGTACCCAGTATTAGCAACTATTGCTTCTGTGTTAGTACCTGGCTCTGCCTCCTTCCCTAACCTGGTGGTAGCTTGTGACAGACTTGAGGTAGATCATGCACATCCGCAGCAGCTGAGCTTTGGCAACTTCTCTGGGGGGGGAGCTGTAGCATTGATTCTACATCATCTACAGTTGATGCAGATCACTTCTTTGATCCATGCTGAGGATGTTTTGCTATTTGAGCAATTGCTACCACTGCAGGCATTTTTTGTTTTACCTGGAAAGAAGGTATTTTTATACATAATTTTAAGCACGCAACAGTAACCTATTCCAGCCAGGGATCCCCTGCAGCATGAGGATCTCCTGCACTGGAACAGATTTGGATGCACTGTCCCACCTTACAAAATAAAACATGGTATTTTCTTGCTGCCTGGCCTTCTTGCTACTATCGCCAAAGATACCTAAGTTTAAACTAAACCAGATTTTTCTACAAGAAGTGAAGTTTAGCTGCAGTTTAGTTGACTGCAGTGTTGTTCTTCCATTCTATGCTGTTTAACAGACAAGTCAGTGACACATTTGGTAAACAGTTCTTCCTGGCTTTTGAGAGACCTTATTACATGCAACACTTGGTAATGGGTCTCTACCTTCCTGATCAATTGGATTCAGCTTCAGAATGGTTGTTATAATGCTGGGAAATAAAATCCACCTTTATGTTAGATGCTTTGCCCTTTAAATGACAGACATTACACTGAGATGAGCTATTACATCTCATAGAAGACTTTTTCACAACAAGCAGACCCATTGATGTGTCAGTGTTGAAAAACTAATACAGGCTATGTTTAGAAAAGATATTTTCAGCAGGAAAAGCAGCATTACAGCACTGCTTTTTCTATTCTTGCCCTTTCATTGTCTCATTTACAACACCTTATTTCCCTGTGTTTCTTCTGAGATCATGCCCTGCTGATGTCCACATAAGCTACAGAAAGACAGGGATTTACTATGCAGACCTTTGGGATATTCACAGGCATTTTAAGGGTTATGAAAATCCCATGCTTAGATGGCAGAAGTCAGCCCTGTAGGAAGAATCCTTGCTGACATAGCAGGACAGGGAAAAAATGTACATATCGCGCTGTACTGTTGTCCTAAAAGGCTATTTCCTCAAATATAGACAAGTCTTTGAAATAAGTTCTATTATTTTCACATCTGTACCTGAAAATCGTTGTCCTGCTGGTCATGGTGTGTTTAACATCCCCTGAACATGGGTGTGAATGCCTGCCTTCTGGATAGGACCCAGGCCTATGGCTCTCAAATAAATGACTTCATTTCAAATGGAGGTGCATTACTCAGGCCCTCAGACAGAGCTGCCCTGAGTATACAAGTATTTATTGCTTAACAAGGCAATAGAGAAGGCAGAAGATACCACACTTGCTTTGAAAGAGAAAGCGACTTCTTGTGGTCATTTTAGGGCAAATATTTAATGAGCTGTTGATACTTAGGAATGTCCACTGTGCTTTCAACAAGGAGATGGATGAGTGGGGAAAAAGCACGTGGTTGGTTAGAAAGCTGTTGGGATGTTGAAATGTACTTAGTTGAAAAGCTGGGCAAAAATTTTAGGGTGTCAATAGTGGATCAAGTTGAGAGCTTCATGGAATGATGAGGAAAGCAATCAAGATACCCATAGCCAGAATGCAGCACAGCATACATGTGCTATAGCTGCTGTGAAAAATACAGCCCAGGTAGGAGGTGAAAGATCATAGGAAGACTGCACTCAAGATTCAACTAGACTTTCTGAGAAAGAGGCAAGAAAAAGGGACATGAAGTTGGGAATAACAAGACCAAGCAATAGCCTTACCAGCCTTCTTCCCTGTGCTTAGTAGCACTTTGTATGCTAGCCATGAGAAAAACTTCTTTCTCCTAAAACTGATGAAGTGAATACCTGATAAACCTAGAAAATGCAGTTCAGATGCTGGAGGAAGTAATTAACTCAGAGCTGAATCTGACAATACATTAAATACACGTATGTCATACTTCTCAGTGATAATAACTGCTTGAGGTACCCCTGCTCATTAATAACTGCTAAGGATTGTCAGTCTTGACCAGCTGCTGAATTTTTCTAGCTCAATATAAGCAGTGTAGCTGGACAGGAGTCAGTCTGAGGTTTTGAGGTTGGTCTGAGGTTGGTCTAAGGTTGTGACACACAGAGCCAACACATGTTCATGCATCAGCCTCCTGTGAATGCAAGAAAACTCTATCATAAAAGGTCAATCAACTTCATAGACACACTGCAGTCATCACAGAGCACCACTGCACTAACGCAAGCCTCCCTTGTCTTCCTTATTGGGAATATGGCGTGTTACAGGTTTAGGACTGGGGTCAAGGAAAGATTTATATCAAAGAAGTATAAAAGGGCACTTGAGTGATCGGGTATTCTCCTACCTGTCATAGCTGGCCTGTGAATACACTGTGATATAAATGGTCTGCTTGAGTCTCCTTGCCCCAGTCACAGGAATCCCCATCATGAGACCTGACCTGTCCCTTTCCAAATATGACCTATCCTGTGCATGG